GGGCAGCAGGGGTCTTCCTCCACGTGCACCCCGGGCCGTGAAGTCGCGGGGGTCGTGGCTCTTGGGGGGAGAGGTAGAGACGTCGCACTAGGCTGGCTGGGGTGCTGGGTTTGGAGCGCGCTGCCAAGTCTCGCGAGAGCGGGGGAGGGGGCGGAGCAGTGGTGCCCCCACCCCATTAGAGACCGAGCTAGGGCTGGGGGGTATGGGATCTGTCCAGGGCTGGTAAGGGAAGCCCAGCAGCCTCCAAGTTCTCTTCTAGGGCTTGCTGTGGTGGCTGGGCTCCCTGCTGTAGAAGTGGGGTGCACTGGCATGGTTGCCTGTATCTGCCTGTTGCTTTTCCCTGTAGCCCCAAGGCGAACACTGGCATTTGGCACAGGGCTAATGAGGCTAAAAGCCCTGGGTCCACGGCGGCACCAGCATGTGCCCGACGAAGCCTGGCATGAGCAAACAGGCATGTCTGCACTGCTCTTTCTAGAGCTGCACGTGTGCCGTGAGCTCTCTGAGCCGTAGCCACTGTGTGTACCTCTGGAGCCTGGGGCAAATCTTGCTGCCACTCCCTCTTTTGCCATGGGCTCCAGAGTTGTGTGAAAACAGTGGCTCCAGCCAGAGTCTGGACCAAGAGCTGGTGGACTTTGAGCAGTGCTTTTCTATGTGGTCCTCGGCCCCTTTTTGATAGCAAGGTTTGGTCCACTTGTTGAAAGTGTTGAGCGATGTGGCTCTAGGGGCTTCTAGTTCCTAATTCTTTAACACAAGTGTTCATTCAGAACAGGAGAGCTGCTGGCTCATCTTCCCCACATCCCTACGCTTGGAAGGTGAAACAAAGGCCCTTGACAGACTTCGTGCTTGTGCATTGTTTGCAAGTATCATTTGATGCATACTACAGTGCCAGACATTAAGCCAGTTTATCCAGGATGAAAAGGGGCAGATCACTGCTGCAAAGAAGTTGCTTGTTGAAACAGCAGGAAATAAACTGCAGTGATTTTAATATGTGGCCTGTTGGCATGCTATGATTGATCGCATGATACTTGCTTGTGGCATGCAAAAGGTGGAACCTTTCCTGCAGTCATGGGCCTAAGTCAACTGGTTATGCTTTTTTAGTTCTTGTCACTAGGACAAAGCCAACTTTGCAGGGGATTGCTGGGTAAAAACACCATGCAAAAAGTGTATGTGGATCTCAGTAATCCCCAGGGACTGGATTTAGTCAACGCGGAAGTTCCTTCCAGTCTCCTGTGCATGTGGTTTGTGAGAAATGCAGATAGTCGTTTGCAGTTTTGTAACTCATTAAAATGATCTTGCCACTCTTACACTCTCTCACTTCTAAAAGGGATGTTGTCCCTATTCCACCCCCCTTTCCACACCTGTGCTTCTTGTCTTAAATTCAAGAGGTCTGGGTGGAGGGGAAGGGAGATCCTAATACAGATGCATGCTTTCTTTGATTCATGAGCCTACAAGGGCAGAAGGCTGTATGATTACTCACAATAGTTCCCACTGTTGCAATAGTGCATCTAAATTTGGGAGCTTAGGCCAAAATTTTCAAGAATGGGAACTGAATTAGTTTCTGCATTTAGGTGCTAAAATCAGTGAAGGTTTCCAGTTAGTTAAAACATCTGAAAATCGGGCCATCTATTTAAGGAACGATACATGGGTTTAAGCATTTAAATTTTGATTTGGCCATTAGATCCTCTTCCCCAAAGTTTTTAAATTATTATCAGAGATGTGGTTTTTTTGTGTGTCTCTCTCTCCTTTTGTTGACATTTTACTTTTATATTAAGACACTGCTTTTTGCTGATTATTCAGAAAGTCAATCAAAGATGAAGGCCAACCAAGGAAGAAGCTGCACAAGAGAGAGAGAATTTGAATATAAATTCAGTGCTGGAAATCAGCGTTTTGTACTTACAGTGCCTCTCAAATTCCCTGTGCAAGAAAATGTCAGTCATTTGCATGGACGTCTAATGCTTCTGCACAACTTGCCATGCTTTATAGAAAACGGTAAGAATTTGATATGAAAGTGATTGGTGTCATATGTACTAGAAGAGCCAAAGGAGAGGATATCATTGATTAGACTTTTTAAAAATAATGTTTAGCTGTTTGAGATAATCAGTAGTAGGAAGGTGGGTGGTTAGCAAATTTATGAACTCTGAAAACTTATTTAAACCTTTCTTTTTTTTCTATCCATGAAAATCTTTGAAGCATTATTGTTTGTTTGTTTGTTTCAAACAGACTTAAAGCAGTGTCTTAGTAAGTTCATAGAAGAGGAAACTATAAAAGATTATGATAGAGAAGCTGAGGCAGCGCTGGAAGCTGTGAAATCAGGAAAAGTAGAGCTCAGCTATCTGGCAGGTGCTTGGGCTAAAGCTTATAAAGAGGTAAGACGAAGTCTGAAATAGGAAATTCCAGGGGTTTGGTATTGTTGGCTTCTACTACCACACACATGGATATGCCCTGGAATTCCCTTTGATCATCCCATGCACCTGATTATTTCTACAAAACTTTAGGACATCATCCTAAAGGTCCATAATCCAAGGTTTTTTAATTGAATGTCATCCTGTTGATCTCAAGCTATCATCAAGAAGATTAATAAAGACAAGTTCTATACGTAGGAATGAGATCAAAAGCACAAAAAGAAAACGTAGAGTAACTGTAGGCAGCAGCATGGAAGAATCTGGTTATAGTGGGTGACAAATTTAAATGTGAGAATGTGGTACTGTTTAGGTGAGGTGGAGGCAAATCTTGCTTTGGGACATATGACATACCTGTTAATATGTAAAGCTAGGAGGTAATTATTCCTCTGTACTTTGTGCTGATGGGGCCTTAGCTTGAATACTTGTCCAGTTTGGGGCACCATACTTTAGGAAAGATTAGACTAGACTAATTGGGAGAGTGTCCAAATTAAAAAATAAGAGTAAGTTATTTTTTCTCAATGTTATAAGAAAAGTATTTATGGAATTAGGTTTCTTTAGTTTAAAAGAAAAATAAGGGGCAACATAAGTTCTGTAATCCATAAAAGGTGATCAGTTGTACTCAGTGGTTACCAGTGTGAGGAGGTCAAAAACAAAACAGCTTTTAAGTTGTAGCAAAAGAAATGTAGGTGGGTTATTATGAAACATTTATCTCTGTTAGAGTGGTGAAATACTGGAAACAATTATTTGGGAAGCTTGTGGGATAGCCTTCACTGGTTAAGAACAGGTTAGACAAAAAACTGATAGGAATGGGCACAAGTTACTTGAGGTAGCTACCCTGTAAAAACTGCTGGTGTGCATGCTCTTACCCTTCAATACATGAAAGCTAAACTATGGCAGTTTAATCTTTTTTTTTTTTCTGGCATGTTTGGTTGGTTTTTGTTTTTGTTTGTGTTTTTTGTTTTTGACACCAGGATCTCCTGATAACAAAACCCACCGTGCTGCTAACTTGCAGCATGTTGAACGCTTGCATGTGCAGCACATGTGGTTTACATCATCACAGACAGGCAT